ATATTTAAGCCTGTCAGATTATGGACGTCGATGTGAAAAAAAAACCCTATGCGTGAAACGCTAAATGACGTGTAAAACTTCGTTGGATGCTCTCAACTCTTTGCGACTGCACCGCGTACACCGGATTCCAAGCAACGCTTGCGTATTCGAGTTGGCTTCGCACGAAAGCATTGTAAAGCACCTGTTTCGTATGCAATCGTTTAAAGGTTTGGGTGTTGCGTCTTATAAATCCTAGAGACTTTGCAGTCTTGGCAACTATATTATTAATGTGTGCTGTAAATTTTTATTTAGTATTTATGATCACACCAAGGTCGCGAACTTCATCTAACTCAGATATTAATGCGCCGCCTAACTCGTACTTAGTGTCAAGCGGTTTTTTTTTCTTGTGAATTTTATGTGATAACACTTCTTTACGTTGAAAGTCATAGAGTTTTTTAAGCACCATTCTTCTATAGCATTTAGATCCTCTTGTATTAAACACGAGTCCTCATTTGATAGACTATTAGACTTAGACTACAAAAAAAAAGAATTAAGTATTTTATTTAAGTTTCTTTATATCATTTGTGTTAACATTTTCCACTTTTAATATAATTTTAGTTCTAATATAGCTTTATAAGCACTTTGCCCAGGCAGCAGTTACACCCAAGTATCCAATCGCTACGGGACTCTGCTGCCTGGGCCTTGCGTTAATAATTTATAATTAATTTAGTTTATTAGTAGCTTTATTGTTTGTTCATGTTTATCCGTTTGTGTCTTAATGTTGCATGTGTTTCAAATAAAGATAATAAAAAAAAACCTACCTACCTACTTACCTACCTACCAGAGATGAAATACAGACCATTGGTATGGATTGAAATTCCTTTTTTTTTTTTGCAAAAACTTCACGATGCTTGCATGAGGTCGAGGGCCTCTCGTGGACATCTCTGGGAGAAAGCTTGCCGGAGATCCTCGCGACACCCAGGGTAAGGCTGGCGTGGAGAGGATGGTTTTTATTTATTTATTTATTTATTTATTAAAAAAAAAACCAACAGCGTACATATATAAAACACTTAAACGTTGAGTATTATGTATAGTAAGCCCAATGACAGGTTTTTATTTATAGTTATAAAAGTATATAATTCAATGATAAAGAAAACTATAAAGAATCAAAAGAAAAAGAAAAAGAAAGTCACACATCATAGTAAAGGGGTATAAATGAATGTGAAGAGAAAATAAAATCTTACTAATATTATAAATGCGAAAACTTAGATGGATGCATGGATGTGTCTGC